ATTCAACAGGCCTTCTGTTATCTCAAAAAATGCAAAGCTCCGGACCCTGACGAAATTACTAATGAAATTGCACTTAATCTGTGGGCTTTAATTCCGCAACATTTATTTAATTTATATAATGCCTGTCTACACCATGCAATTTTTCCTCGTGCATGGAAACACGCACGAATTGTTCCTGTCCCAAAACCAGGCTCTTCAAGTGATGCGCGACCAATTTCCCTTCTACCCGTATTGGGTAAGATACTCGAACGGTTGATGACCAACAGGCTCAACTGGCATGTTGAGCATAATAAATGCCTAAGCAATAAACAATACGGCTTTCGGCCACAATGATCGGCCGAGGACGCAATTGAATCTATGGTTAACACAGTTAACCATTTACTTGATGACAACAAATATGTTCTTGGAGTGAGCTTAGACATATCTAAAGCATTTGACTCTGCTTGGTGGCCATTTATTACACATCAACTGCGAAAGTTAAAATGTCCTCCTAACATCCTACAACTACTTCAGGATTATTTAAATGAACGTACTGCAACTATACTGTATGGACAACATCAGATGAATAAAATCATTACAAGAGGTTGCCCGCAGGGGTCTGTCTGTGGACCCCTGCTTTGGAATATCACTTTCGATGCCTTCCTTAAAGAAACCCTCGGACAAACAGATTCCTTTGCTTATGCTGACAACGTCATAATGCTGCTAGGAGGTCGATCAAGGTCTGACCTTGAGTACAAAGGCAACTACCTGTTACAACAGATTTACACATGGGGAAATAAACACAAACTTAACTTCAATCCTCTAAAGACTAGAGGTATTGTTTTCAACAAACCAGGTAAACACAACCTTTACCTCAGACCACCACACCTTAAAATGAATAACAACACAATCAAAGTTGAAAAAACTCTTAAATACCTGGGTGTTATACTTGACTTCCGACTCTCGTGGGATAAACACGTGGAATATATCTCTAACCGTACAGGATTTATACTTCAAGCTTTTGCACAAGTAGCCAGAAGAGACTGGGGACTATCTGCAGATGCAATGTCCATTATTTATGACAGTATATATATTCCTATCATTACATATGCATGTGGAACTTGGGGATGGGCCACTCATAAGATACATACTAAAAGGAAACTAGTCTCATCGCAAAGACGTGCTCTTCTACTCATAACCAAGGCATTTCGAACTGCAAGCAATCAATCCTTACAAGTTATTGCAAAAAAACTACCAATAGACCTAACAATTATGATGAAAGAGAAATTGCAACAAGCCAAATGGGGTGAAAATATTATGACATACTCTAGAACGATATTACACAATAACATTGAATGGAACTCTCCTTACTGTGACACCTCTCTTCCCGGTATTCCCTTAAATTACACTTTTGAAAGCAATAACTATGCTGATGTGGATATATATTCTGATGGCTCAAGAATTAACGATTCCGTTTCTTTCCTATTCGTTTGGCGATTTCAGATGTTTTACATTGAGGATTTTCTTTTCTTTCGTTTGCGTGAATATCTTTGTAATAATAATTGAAAGAGGAGGGACTTTTCTTTGGAAGATGTATCTTGGATTGACGTTTTAAATATTTTGATGGACTGATCATGGAAGCTGGAAGAGACCGCTTCTCACTCCAATATCTCTCTCTATCGATCTTTGATTTATTTTCATATTTTTTTTTAATTTCTCGCTCTAGAGAGTTCCATTTTTGTCCAGCGATTTTTGCGGCTTCCGGTGTTCTTATTCCTCTGAGTTTAGGAAGATTTTCAACGTAAAAATATAGGAAGGAAGACATTGGCCTCTTCGGAAATTTTATTTCTTTTCTGATGTTTCTCAGGAGGAGCTTTGTTGAAGCTCTTCTTGTTAAGACAAAAAATAAAGCATTACCTTTTCTTTTGTTTTATTCTTTTAATACTTAACTTTAATAACTAACAGAACTTATTTACACCTTTTCAACCAGATGAAACTCTGACGACTAACAACTTTTTAAGTGTTGCCAGATATAAATGTACAACAATTAACAATATAAATGTACAATAATTAACACTTCTCAACAAACGAGAACGGCAATTTCTGTTCCGACTTTGTCTTCCAGATTTTATTTTTTTTCTTATTAGTTCTAATTGATTTTCCGTCCCTTGTATTTTTATTTTTGTTTCCTCTTTCTGGTTTCATATTTTCGATCTTTATGATTAAACAGAAATTCCGTTAACGAAAACAATGAAACAAACTGGATTCTTGCTGAAAATTATTACGCGTGTATTATTGAGAGTAATTGTGACGTTCTAGCAGAAAATATTAACTTATTCTATAATTGAAATATATTTACGTTAGCTTATAAAAATTTTATATTTTAATACAGTGGAACCTCGGTATACGACCTTAATCTGTTCCTAGTGTTTGGACTTATACCGAATACAGGGATGCACAACCTTTACTGAAGAAGGGCCAAATTAGGATTAAGTTTACTGATTGGGGGCTGGACCTCCAAGTGATTAATGCGATGGCTGAGATTGGATGCTAGCGGCAATCTTCTTGATGTCTAGCGTAATGGCAGATGTTGAAACAACCAGCAGATTTTCCAAATTCTCATTGGTTAACCTGTTCCGTGTTTTGCACTTGTTTAAATTCATAAGCGAAAACGCTTGTTCACATACATACCATGTTTCCCCGAAAATAAGACCTAGCAGAGGTTTTGCTGAATTGCTAAATATAAGGCCTCCCCCGAAAGTAAGACCTAGTAAAGGTTTTTTTTTTTACTCCTAATGGTCATCGACAGCAGGTTGAAAGTGGCCGTTGGCTTTTTGAAAGTACAGCCACTGATTGGTCAGCAGACAACACGCCATACGGCATGATTTGCATAAGACTATGGCTTGGAATCACAGATTTGCATAATGTTATGGCTGGTGATCACTAATTGTTCAGCTGGGAATCACGCCACATCACATTTGCATAGTGTTATGGTTCAGTAAGCAGTAATTGGTCATCGAGCCCGATGTAGACGCTATAAAAAGGTTAAGTTGAAGCAAGAGTGGGAAGTCCACTCCAACGGAACTTTGTAAGTTCACTTCGGTTTTAGTTAAGTTCTGTTCAACATGACCGGATATACGTCACTCTCGTCTAAGTTCGACTTGGGAATTTTTTTGTTCAATAGTAAATGTGAATTCTTCATGGAAAAATAAGNCAAAGGAGTACTACCAGGAGGTCCTTCGTCGTCTTTCCGATACAGTGCGATGCAAACGATGGGATCTGTGGTCAATCAAAACTTAACAGCTCCATCGTGATAACGCATCCGCCCATTCTGCGCATCTGATTCGGGCTTTCGTCGCCAAACACAATACTCCTGTGGTTTGTCACGCTCCGTATTCTCTCCACGTGGCTCCGTGTGACCTTTGGCTATTTCTCAAGCTGAAAATGCCGCTAAAAGGAACCCAAATTTAGTCGAGAGAAGACATCGTGCGAAATGCGACGGACCAGCTGATAACCATTCCAAAAGATGCGTTCCAGCAGTGTTTCCAGCAATGGCAGAAACGCTGGGGGAAGTGTATACATTACCAAGGAGACTACTTTGAAGGGGATTAGGGTTTTGTTCCTCAAAGTCAATAAATTTATTTTTGCCGACCAAAGGTCCGATACTTTTTGAACAGACCTTGTATTCACCAGACATCGCCCCTTCCGATTATCACTTGTTCCGATCGATGGCACATGGCCTTGCTGAGCAGCACTTTCGTTCTTACGAAGATGCCAAAAAATGGGTTGATTCTTGGATAGCCTCAAAAGACGTGTCGTTTTTCCGACATGGAATTCAAATGCTGCCAGAACGATGGGAGAAAGTAGTGGCTAGTGATGGACAATACTTTCAGTAACGTGTTTATTACAACTTTTTTAAAATAAAGTGTTAATTTTCACAAAAAAACAGCGAGAACTTATTCAAGGTCCTTATAATATTATATATTTAGATTTCTATGCAGAATATTTTATGGCATTTTTTCCATTCACATAATTTATTTTTATAATCATATCTTAATTACATTGGTAGCAATTTTATTTTTAATAAACTTCAATATGTATGTTAATTATAAATTCAATGAAAATTCATAGAAAATTATTACAGTAGAGCATTGTTTATCCAAAAGTCGGTTATCCGAAAGAATTCCAGTCGGCAAATTTAAATTTTTGCTAGTGCAGTGGTGCTGCAATCTTTGGCTATATCTTGGGCTACTCCAATATTTTTTTGTTGGTGTGTGTTTTTAGCTGGCACCACTGGCACTTTTTGTGTGGTGTTTTTCTCAGGACTGTGTGTCATGCTGAATTGTACATTTTTGATACTAGATTAACTTCTAAAGTATATTTTTGTTTTTATGTTTTTCAATATATTTATTTTGTTTGTACAAAATAAAGAAATAATTTTTAACGGTACAATAGCCACAATTATTATTTTAAAAAGTTTACATTAGGCTTAACGTTGATGAAAATTCAGCGCAACACACAACGGAGAAAAATTTCAACATGGGATAGGTTAATATATTTTTTTTGTACATAATTGGTTATCCGAAAAATAAGTTATCCGAACAACCCCAGTTCCCAATTGATTCGGATAAACGATGCTCTACTGTATTCATTTAATTTTTCTGATAATTTTTATAAATAAGGGAATTTAGGAATTGACTTTTTTAGAATAAAAATTAACATTTTATAAACAAATCTTGTTAGCACATTTTATTTTATAAAAAAACAATTTTTTAATAATACAAATTTTTATTTGTGGGTATAATTTTTCTTATAATGTAAACTAAATAAGTGGCACTATATTATTATAATTATTATATATATTTATTAGGTTTTGAGGTTTTTTATGTATGTATGTATATATGGAACTATATTAGTTTAATTCAATATTTCAGTATTTATAGTATTAGCACCAAAACTAAATTTCAGTAATTGCTATTATTATTAATTTCATTATAATATCAGACTATATTAAATTTTAATGTCTGTTTGCAATTTATGTGCAGGAGGTGAAGATTTTGATCAGAGAGTAATGGAGCATTTTATTAAGTTGTACAAAAAGAAGACTGGAAAAGATATCAGAAATGATAATCGTGCTGTTCAGAAACTTCGTCGTGAAGTAGAAAAGGCCAAGAGAACTTTGTCGAGTGCTCATCAGGCTCGTATTGAAATTGAATCAATGTACGAGGGTGAAGATTTCAGTGAAACTCTCACAAGAGCTAAATTTGAAGAATTAAATATGGTAAGAAGTTTTTTAAAATTATTTAATAATGAAAAGTTTTTGATTTTAAAAAGTTTTTGGTGTTTTTTAACATTAAAATCTTTTTTATTTAGGACTTGTTCCGTTCAACCTTGAAACCTGTACAGAAAGTTTTAGAAGATGGTGATCTACAGAAAAAGGATATTCATGAAATTGTACTTGTTGGTGGATCTACTCGTATTCCCAAGATCCAGCAATTAGTAAAAGAATTTTTCAATGGAAAAGAACCAACCCGAGGAATAAATCCTGATGAAGCTGTTGCTTATGGTGCAGCTGTTCAAGCTGGTGTCCTTAGTGGAGAAGAAGATACCGGTTAGTGTCTTGGTGTTTTTAAAACTCTTGTAAAACATTTGTGATACATTACTAAATGTTAGCAATGTATATTTGTATTATTTTTTTCTTTTAATTTTAAGGTGCATGTTTTCTTTTTACAATTTTTTAATATGTGAAATGATGAATCTTTTACATTTGATGTCAAACTGGAAATTTTTTGACAATTATTCTATTATCCTACTTGCAATATAAAATTCTATAAATGAATAAAAATTTAAAATTCTATTAAATAAAATGATTTAAACAATATCTTTTTCATTTGATGTTTTATGAAAAGCTCAAAGATATAGGTAATTAATAAAATACTCTTTCTACTTAGGAGAACTAGTTTTGCTGGATGTCAACCCTTTGACTCTTGGTATTGAAACTGTTGGTGGAGTAATGACAAAACTTATTCCAAGAAACTCTGTTATTCCTACCAAAAAGTCCCAGATTTTCTCTACTGCTTCAGACAATCAGAATACTGTTACCATTCAGGTAATTTTAAAAGCCAGTAAACTTTAATTTTTAAAAAAGAAAAGGCAGGCTAAAACTGAACTTTTTTTTTTTATATTTATTGTATAGGTGTATGAAGGAGAGCGTCCATTGACAAAAGATAATCATCAATTAGGAAAATTTGACTTGACTGGAATTCCTCCAGCTCCAAGAGGTGTTCCTCAAATTGAAGTGACCTTTGAAATTGATGTTAATGGTATCTTGAAAGTAACAGCAGAAGACAAAGGTACAGGAAACAAAGAGAAGATCACCATCACTAACGATCATAATAGGTTGACTCCGGAAGACATCGAAAGAATGATTAAGGATGCGGAGAAGTTTGCCGACGACGACAAGAAGGTTAAAGAACGCGTAGAAGCTAGAAACGACTTGGAATCCTATGTATATTCTCTTAAAAACCAAATAGGTGATAAAGATAAATTGGGTGCTAAACTTTCTAATGAAGATAAAGAAAAATTGGAAGAAGTCATTGAAGAAAAAATAAAATGGCTGGAAACCAATCAAGAAGCAGACACGGAAGAATTCAAAGCCCAGAAAAAAGAAGTCGAGGACATCGCCCAGCCCATTATTTCCAAGTTATATGCGGGGGCAGGTGGCGGTGCACCTCCAGAAGAGGAGGACGTAAAAGACGAACTATAAATGTGATGATATTAGTAAGTTTTCTTCATCTAGAATTTGGCCGTGTCAACTTCAGATGAATAATTCCATTTGAAATAGTATTTTAGTTTCTGTCCATTACATTAATGGTTCTCCATTATACATCATCATATTGTCATTTTTTGCCATTTCTGTAAAGAACAGAATGGACTGAATAACTTACTGGGAACAGTGTCACTGAATATTTATACTGTTTTGTCTTTTGACTTGTAAAATCACATTTGAAATGAATAAATTGTAAATACACTTCATTCAGTTTTGTGTTCTCTCTCTCTCTAAACGGATTTAAGAAAAACTTTAATAAAGTATTTATTAATGTCAATGTAAAATATTGTAATAATATAAATTTATACAGTGTAATAAAATTTAAGAGTTAATATTGGATCATTAATTTTAAGTCCATTTCAAAAAATTTTGTTTGGTGATTGTAGGCAATTCTAGTGAAATAAGAATTTTTAACAAAAATTAATAGGTATTTAATTAATCTAACTTGAATTAGAGGATGTACTCCCAATTTTGAAACTGGTGTTAATGCTTTCATGACTGGTCACCCCTTGAAGTTAAAAGTTAATAGATAAAGTTTTTTAGCATTTTTAGCACAATACATTATCTGCAGTTATAAACGAAGAATGCATTCTTTATTTGTGCATTCCTTTATTCGTCCGCGGAATCTGTTTAAAAATTAATACTCGAGAGTACAGTATTTCAGAGTTGATGAGAGTGGCAACTTGCGAAATGTATTTTATGTAAAAAGAAAATGTACTAAACATCAAATTTAAGGAATCATATAAAACGTTTAGAGCAGTGTTACTCAACGGGGCGATATCGCCCCCGTGTGGGCGTTTTTCCATGTTGAGGGGGGCGATTAGTAACAATTTATATTTTGGGGGACGAAGAACAATTTTCTGGGTGATATAGTATAACATTATGTTAACGAATAAAATATCTAATTATTCTTATATCGTACAATAATAAAATAACATTATACTAGTCACTAGTCTGTTCAATGCAGTACGAATTTGGCGTTAGCCTTGGCCCTCCGCATCGGAATTTTGAAGCGAAGGGGGCGACGATTCGTTAGAGGTTGAGAAACACTGGTTTAGGTGAACCCGGGGCGGAATGGGATAGCTAACGAAGATAAAATTGTCAACAATAAAAGAGAAATAACAAAAATATTACATTATATCCTTTATTATATTTGGCACAATTATTTAAATTAGATAAATCATTAAAAAAAACTTGCCCACATCCCGTTCCGCCCCGCACTCTGGGCAGAATGGGGTATGAGATTAATATTTCTTTTCTAATATTTGAGCATTAGTCTTGTTGCTTACAAAACTCAAACCAGCACGGAATCGTCATCGTCGCTGTCGAAACCCGCACAAGACATAACAGCCCATTTTTTGCACGTGACACATGAACACCAACCGTCAATCGACTATTAGTAAGCCTTGGTGCAGTAAAGGCAAGTCGTATCATCATCATCTTTCGAGTAATCGTCTCCTCCTTGTTCTTTTTTACTAGACTTTGGACGGTTCCCGTAAAGGAAAAAAACATTGCGCCCCAAAGCACGTGCTTCTAAAAAATGAAGTAGAGAAAAAAGTTTGATTGCTTTTTGCGTTATTTCATTCTAAAAATACAAATAGATCTTTAATAAACTAGACTATATAAATTTGGTTAAATTATAAAATACACCATATACTTTACAAGTGTATCAACATTAAAACAATGAATTTCATCAAAAAATCACGACGCAAGGTTTTATTGGTCAACGACAAAGAGAATCTCGGTAACCGAGTATTCACACTGACGCGTTGTCGCAGTCTGAGTATAGGACGGAGCAAACCAATTCCCTCACCTCTCATATTTAAATCGTCTTTCCATTTCGTCCCGGGTTCCCCTACATCATGTTGAATTTTGGCCTTTTAGTGCTCTGAGCAGAAAATCTAAAAAATAAAACCTCAAAAAATAAAAAAATCCTGTTGAATTTAGAAAAAATTTTATTACCAATAATAACAATACTCTTTCGACATCTAAAGCTCCAGATTTAGAAAAAACATCGACGGGGCCGCTGACAAGAAAAAGTCAGCATTTCGCCAGCGATCAAGATATGTTGAATAGCAAAAGGGCAACTAATATAAAATACTGCATTCTGTACAGTTGTCTGAGATAGGCAAGTAATTTCACCAGTGTACCTTAAAATCGCTATCCCAATATCCCGTAAGAAGGTTCAGTGTAGCCTACCCATTTGAAAGTTTTCGAACGTAAGGCGTGCAGTCAAAGACATTGCGAACCGCTGACGGAATTTGAAAAAATGCCGCACGGAGGAAAACGAGATGACCATTTCCCCGAATTATCATCCATTCGGACCGTTTTGACCAAAGCTGTGCCGACAGGTGAGGCAAAGAAGAAACAGCCTCGGGTGACAGAATTTAGAGAGCCGAAACTTTCGATTTTGTGTATTACACGAGATTTTTAAAGTAGTAGAAAATTAACGAATTCGATTTTAAAAATTCTTAACCGTACATTAAAGGAACTAAATAGAGCCTTTTGGGGGGGGGGTTAGAATCCTATCTACTTCCGTTTACGATAGCTTTTGGAAAAAGCATTATTAATGAGAAAATCCTTTTCAATTTTTAATGTCACATGCTGGCGATCACGTGCATAAAAGAAGAGTACAATCAGCCTTAAGGTATTTGTCTACTATTGTGAAAGTGCGAGTTCCAATTCTGTCGACATATTATTTATAATTTATCATAGACGTAGCATTTTTAACCCTAATCTATGATGGTCGGCCATAGTGATGAGCGATCCAGTGATTTTCCGATATGGCAATCATCCGAGACCGTTCGTTTTTAATCACGATTTCGCCACACCGTAGCTAATCGGATTCACAGTTTCATCTATGACACGTGATCTACATTAAAATTATGCACCGGAGTCATCGACGATTTCTTAACGGCGATCAACGAGTCAGAGGCGGCGTTAAAAAAGAAACGAAGATACCGGAGATTCCCCAAAAGTTTTTTCCGAAAAATAATATTTGAAGTCAACACTGCACGCGGGGCCTCTAATTCAAATTTGTCTGAAGTCCGCGAAGCTATAACGAGCCAGTAAAATCCACTAGTTCCATAAACGGGATCTTAGAGAGCTTGTACGAGACCCGAGGATAGTCGGGCCCTGGACTTACGATTGGCAAAATATAGATCACGCATCGCAGGCAAAACTTTGATTCCGATGGGCAAGGTGGCAGAGAAATCGTAATCGCCATCTCCGAAAAAATCGCGGCGATAAAAAATAAGGGTCGGAGATGACCGCCAAATCGAAAAATCACCGGATCGCTCGTCACTAATTTCAACGACTTAACGTCTACCGGCGACCTAGAAAATATCGGAAAAAATTAAAGAAATTTTACACTTTTAATTTTGTAAACAATTTATATATACAAGTTTTATTTAGTTTATTTTGTAAATAAAAAAAAATTTCTTCACAAAATTTCAACCAGTAAGTTTTGGTAGCGAGAGTATAGCTTTCGGGTATATAAAAGGAAAAAAAGCGCGATTGTGGCAACTTTTCTTTGTCGTCTTCGGAGCCGGTCGTTGTTGAAGGTATAAATTATATTTAAATTGTCCGTTATCAAAATAATTTTCGTAAAATGTATAGATGAAGGATTATGTATTATAATATAAATTTATTAATCGAATAGCTGTTTCAGAAATGCGGATGATTTTGGATTTAAAATTGCCGTTTTGAATTCAAAACCACGTGGTAGGCGCTCTTTACAGAGATTTTGGTTTAGCCTTCCATTCTCATAAAATTATCCGTTTTAAACTTAATTTCACGTGCCTGTGTACAGAATTAGGCATTTTTTGGGGATTAAAATTGTTACTTTTGAAATCCTTCGGGACGACCGATATAAATTTTATTTCTTAATTTTTATCTAACTGTGTGTGTGTAGTTTGCGAGTTCGACGATATGCGGGTTAAAAGAAATTATGGTTTTTATAACTAACGAGGTGGATTTTTAGCACGTAATCCATATTTCGATGCCATTTTAGGGACGATGCCAGAGCGACAACTTATCCTGAAGATATTTCTGCTTACCTGCATTAAGAGAATTAATAATCGTTGACAATAGCAAAAAGTGAAAATGTGATTAAACATTAAAAGACAATTATTGATATTCTCTTCGGGGAGCTTCCTTTGTCAAATATGGTGTCGAAATGATGGTAGCATTTAACTTAGAAGAGATGAAGATTATCCGCTCTTGTACTTTGCTAAACAGACGTTAATTTTATAAAATGTTTTAAATTAGCTAAGGTGACTGTTAGGTATGCACCTAGATAATTATATATTTGAGCCCTCTGTGGCGGTGGTGGATCGGGCACCGAGCCGACCGACTTTTGTCGTCTTAAATACTACTATGCATATGTAGCTAGAACTATTTCTTAGATGCTGATAGTTCTTAGGTGCTGATAGTCTTAAATACTCCTTTTTGTCCAACTCCTTGCTGCCAAGCTTTAATGCCCCGTAATATGTACTTGAGATTTCAAGGTCCCAAGTACAAAAATGTAAAATTCTTTGGGGGAGATTTTTGGCACTTGTACAGATTAACGGGTACGGCTATTTGAGAGGTTTACTTCCATAAAATTAACTAAATCTAGACTAATTTCACTCGAATATTTCCAAAACACGTATAATTTGTTGAAATGATCGATATAAAATATGCTATGAACAAAAAATTGTCGGAATACTTATCGAGTGTACCCGTTCGAAGACGCCATTGCTTAAGCTTGTTTTCGTCGCGGAACGGCACATCCTTCGTACGCGTCCGCTTCCAATGTGTCGGTGCTATTCGGTCACGTGACTACTCATCTCTGACGTGTTCCTGATAACTTATTCTTTTTGCGAAGAATTCACTGAACTTTAGAGACATCATTAACAGAAATATTAAAACTTCATTCCATTCTAAATATGGATTAAAATCAACATATAATAACGTATGATAATGCGATAAATAACTAATAATTCTGTTCTACTTTTCAATGGTCTAATCTCTCATGTCGTAAACAAAATTGTATAATATTTATTTACATCGACATTAGACATCTTATGTTGCATCTGATTAATATTTATCATCATTATAATATATATCATGATAGAATTGTTGTCGTTAGCGAGTGGTTTTTCCTTTGCTGCTTCATATAGTCAATAATAATAATAAGTCGTTTTTAATCATAATATACTATAGATTTTTTATTGTAATCTATCACGTGATGTCTCTAAAGTTCAGTGAATTCTTCGCAAAAAGAATAAGTTATCAGGAACACGTCAGAGATGAGTAGTCACGTGACCGAATAGCACCGACACATTGGAAACGGACGCGTACGAAGGATGTGCCGTTCCGCGACGAAAACAAGCTTAAGCAATGGCGTCTTCGAACGGGTACACTCGATAAGTATTCCGACAATTTTTTGTTCATAGCATATTTTATATCGATCATTTCAACAAATTATACGTGTTTTGGAAATATTCGAGTGAAATTAGTCTAGATTTAGTTAATTTTATGGAAGTAAACCTCTCAAATAGCCGTACCCGTTAATCTGTACAAGTGCCAGATTTTTTACCGATTGCTATGCTTTTTGTATTAATGTATACATAACAACCAGGGAAAAATTACTGATCGATCATAATATTTAGACTAAAATGTTTACTAATTTGAATGGGGCCCTTGCTGTTGATCGTAATAACCGGGGATCTCGACAAAACGGTTCTTATTGTATTCGCGTTTTTCACCGGATGCTCGCCCTCTGGTGTTTAAAAACAGAACTACTCTATCTGGGTTGTTTGAATGTTATTCGTATATTGTCAACAGTAGAGATGAATAGTAAAAGTAAAGCTTTCTGTTGTGTTCCAAATTGTAATTTCAAAGCCATACGCGATCCCGATATAAGTTTTCATGTATTCCCACATGAAAAACAGATGATTTTTCGTAAATCAGAATTTGGAGAATCTCAGAAATGTAACCGACGGAAAGAGTGGATTCGACTGCTAAGAATTGGCAAAAAAGTTACGAAGTATATGGTAGTATGTTCGAAACATTTTACGCCTGAAGATTATATTTTGTCATGTATGCTATCATGTTTTTATAAATATGTTTAGATTATTGTAATTCGATAGTATTAAAAAATCAAACTGAAAAAGATTGCATAAAGTATAAAGTAATTTAGTATTTGTATTCGTTTTTAACCTATACTATAGGATTATCTTCAATAAAATGTAATTCTATTCAATTTTATATATGTCGATAAACTTTAAAATTCAAGTAATTTTGTGTGGGATAGAAGTCAATGCTGATATTTGCAGACAAAGGGCACAAAAATGTACAGAATGATCTTGCTTGTTTTTCTCGATAATACCACATAAAATGACATGTCCTGCTAGTAATACTTGTTCTCCTTCTATAAAATTTTTCGATGAACTGCTACAAGTAGCATATTTCATTATATCAGATAGTAATATATAATTCATTTTACATTGACGATTAACAAACGACCCAGATAGAGTAACCATTTTGTAAAAATACAGTGCCCTCTATAGTTCATGAAAAACGCGAATAAAATATTGGCAAAAAAGTGACGAAACACCAACTACACCAAAGGTAATCGGTTAAAAACTTTCCCTTTGAAGTTTTTGCAAAAGATAAGTTTTTATTTGACAGGATTTTCCAATTTGGCTACTTGGTATATAAATGCACGAAAAACTTTAATTATTACTTATCAAATATATTTTCTCGTGGTAAAAAGCGAAATTTTATTGGTTATGTATGGAAGAGGAAAAATTTAATGTTTATGGCAAATGGTATCCGTGCCTGAAGTTTGGTGTCTTCGAGCTGCTAACTTTTGGAAGACCAGTGTGCTTATCGATGTACATAAATCATGATTAATACATTCAGTATTGAAAAGAAAATAGTATAAACGTTGTATGTAAATAGTAATATATAGATTGTTTTCGGCTAGTTAAGGCTTAACTAGTAAACATGTTTTTCCTGTGCTGTTTCAAAGTTCAGAATGAAAACTGACTGATTACAAGTATAGGTTATAATAAAATCTTGTTCTATAACCAATCCACATCTGTGGAATCCACGTCATGTGGATTATGTTATGCGAGCAAATGTGTAGTTTGCAGCTGCTTATTCCCCACGCAGCTTAACTAGCAAAAATGGCTAATAGCCTCGTGGGAAAAAAGGCATGGCTTGGGAGCACAACTAAGTGTACGCTAGCTCCTGAATCCTGTAGTTTGTGGTGGCTCTTAGAAACAAGTTCAACATCGCAGCATAACTAGACTTAGCAAGAATTCTGTGTTACTGAATACGGCCCACGTTATCTGTCTACACAACAGTATGGAATTTTAATCAATGAAATTTTGAACTTATCACATGTACTCTAATTGTATTTTTAAAAAGGGAGGCTTAAAGTTCTAATAAAGAATAGTTTTGACAAATATGGCATGATCAAAAAGTTTCCATTCAGAGGTGCTGCAGCAGCATATGTTAATGAGCAAGAGAGAATAAAGAAAGCAGGAATCTAGGCCTGCAATCAATGGTGATTTTGATTAACTTTAGAATCCTTTGTAGAATATTGTGAACACAATGATGGCAGTGTTAACAAATGTGTTCATAACAGGTTCACTGTGTGGTAATCGTTTTTGGCTACAGGAAAAAATGGCAAACATTGCACAATGATGGTTCATACATGTCCAAAACTATGTGACAGTCTGTCCTGATTGCATAATCTACAGCACTGTTGGATGTGGATTTGTCTCCTTGGCTGACTTGCATCTTGTATTTTGTGATCACTACAGAACTTTGTGATGCCTTCACTGGTCAGTGCTGGCTGAAGTCTTGGATAAAGAACTGATTTAAAAAAAAATGCTTGACTGAAATGTGACTGCTTATTTTAGTTGCTCATGACAGTAGCCTTCTCTTGTAAAAAGTGTTTGAATCTTAAGTTTTGACTTCTGATTGAAGACTGGTATATTTAGAATACAATTAGCAGAGGAAATGAAATTTGAGAAAAGTGACAAAAGTCAATATTTTTTATGTAGGTGCAATATATGCAACAGCCTATTTTCCTATAAAACCTTAATTTACCATATTTTCCGGCATATAAGATGACTTTTTAACCCAGGAAAATCTCAAACGTCAGGAGGTCATCATATAGGGCAGGTGCTGGAGTTGGCCAGGACGCCCGGTGTATGGATAGAGAGTGGTGCCGTGCCCAGAAAACATGCATCTTTCACCCATCTGTCCCGCCCTTGTATGTATTCTATTAACGTACCTCTTTCTCTGATCTTGCACCTGAGGACTGCAGTGAAGCGGTACATGTGCAAGATCTGATAGGCAGAGAAGGTATGGTAATAAGATAAAAGGGCAGGCCGGGATAGTCTTATATGGCGAGTATATCCCAAACTATATTTTAACTGTAAAAGTCAGAGGTTGTCTTATACGCCAGAAAGTACGGTAAATAAGATATTAATGATTTAACTATAACTATATACTGAAATCAGCTGCTTTGAATTTAATGATTATAAGAATTTAAAGATTTTTCTGAATGGAATATCTAATTTGCTATTCATTACACAATTCTACCATTAACATTTATTTTTAAATATTTCAGAATGCAAGACCATGTCTTTTAGTTCTGCAGTCCTAATTAGAAATAAATATTAAGCCGGGTCTGCTTTTCATATTTTTAAGGTAATTAATCTTGATAAAAATTAATAAAATCAATTTTAAATTTTACATAAAGTGATGATTTCATAGTTCAGCTGATTGTAATGATTTAAAATTTGAGTCTTTTGCCCCTATCTGAAAAATAAAAAATTTTATATACACACTCCTTTTTTAATAAGTTCCTTAAAAGAAATCTTTTATTCTAGATAAATACAACTGTTATCATTTATGCTCCAAGCTTGTCAGTAATGAATTTCGAAGACTTTCATTGTTCTCCCAAGCTCCTGGTTAGTGCCACAGTATGCATGTCGATTTCAGTTTTCCTGACCACCTAGCAATCTAGTTCACCTCTTCTAATACCTAACAGGTGCACAGATAGCTTTTCTTTCTGGCTCTGCCTGTGTCTGTTCTATTGTGATGTCCTAGTCTATATATTTTAAATAAATTTTGTATGTCATATTTGCAGTTTAGTCGTGGGGTCAAGTGTAGAGGAAGCAAGACAGAAAAATTGTTACTATCAACATTATCAATAATGGGTAGGTACATTTCTTCTGTCTAGTGAAATTTTGTATTAAATGATTAAATAAAAGGGAGTATTTGCTACTAATGAGTGTATGATTTAGAAACCTTTTATGATAATTAAACCATTTTTAAGTTTAATATTTAATAGCGTTTCTTTCTTGTATTCTGTTTTGATTTACTTTTATTTCAGGTTGGTGAAGCAAAGAAGGTATTTATACAGAACCTTTTATTTTGAATGTAAGCATTTTTAAGTTTTCAAATAGTGGAAATACTAAACTTAATTTCTAGAATATTTTTTCCCTCATGAGACAGAAATTTTATGAACTAATTAGTCTGTAACTAATGTTGAGTTACATACATGAACAAAAGTCCATTATAATTTCTGAGCATTTTGTGAACAAGAATTTTTTAAAGAATTAGTATTCATCAAACAAAATTAAGTTTTCAGGAAGATGAACAGCAATAAATATTTGGTTTAACTCTAGAAACTATTAGTACCAATAATGTTAACTTCCTGGTTATGGACATTACCTTGAACAGAAAACAAAATTTACTTAACCTGTCCTACATTGTTCCCGATTTTAAGTTCAGGAAGTTTGTGTAAGAATTAAATATTTAGTATAAATTACAAAAAACTTGCTGAATCTAAATATATAAAATTGCTTGTCCTGACTGACTGATTCGTCATCGTCCAGAGCAAACTGCTGAACCTAAAGAGGTGAAATTTGGTACACAGGGTACGTCGTNGAGGGTGAAGATTTCGGTGAAACTCTCACAAAAGCTAAATTTGAAGAATTAAATATGGTAAGAAGTTTTTTAAAATTATTTAATAATGAAAAGTTTTTGATTTTAAAAAGTTTTTGGTGTTTTTTAACATTAAAATCTTTTTTATTTAGGACTTGTTCCGTTCAACCTTGAAACCTGTACAGAAAGTTTTAGAAGATGGTGATCTACAGAAAAAGGATATTCATGAAATTGTACTTGTTGGTGGATCTACTCGTATTCCCAAGATCCAGCAATTAGTAAAAGAATTTTTCAATGGAAAAGAACCAACCCGAGGAATAAATCCTGATGAAGCTGTTGCTTATGGTGCAGCTGTTCAAGCTGGTGTCCTTAGTGGAGAAGAAGATACCGGTTAGTGTCTTGGTGTTTTTAAAACTCTTGTAAAACATTTGTGATACATTACTAAATGTTAGCAATGTATATTTGTATTATTTTTTTCTTTTAATTTTAAGGTGCATGTTTTCTTTTTACAATTTTTTAATATGTGAAATGATGAATCTTTTACATTTGATGTCAAACTGGAAATTTTTTGACAATTATTCTATTATCCTACTTGCAATATAAAATTCTATAAATGAATAAAAATTTAAAATTCTATTAAATAAAATGATTTAAACAATATCTTTTTCATTTGATGTTTTATGAAAAGCTCAAAGATATAGGTAATTAATAAAATACTCTTTCTACTTAGGAGAACTAGTTTTGCTGGATGTCAACCCTTTGACTCTTGGTATTGAAACTGTTGGTGGAGTAATGACAAAACTTATTCCAAGAAACTCTGTTATTCCTACCAAAAAGTCCCAGATTTTCTCTACTGCTTCAGACAATCAGAATACTGTTACCATTCAGGTAATTTTAAAAGCCAGTAAACTTTAATTTTTAAAAAAGAAAAGGCAGGCTAAAACTGAACTTTTTTTTTTTATATTTATTGTATAGGTGTATGAAGGAGAGCGTCCATTGACAAAAGATAATCATCAATTAGGAAAATTTGACTTGACTGGAATTCCTCCAGCTCCAAGAGGTGTTCCTCAAATTGAAGTGACCTTTGAAATTGATGTTAATGGTATCTTGAAAGTAACAGCAGAAGACAAAGGTACAGGAAACAAAGAGAAGATCACCATCACTAACGATCATAATAGGTTGACTCCGGAAGACATCGAAAGAATGATTAAGGATGCGGAGAAGTTTGCCGACGACGACAAGAAGGTTAAAGAACGCGTAGAAGCTAGAAACGACTTGGAATCCTATGTATATTCTCTTAAAAACCAAATAGGTGATAAAGATAAATTGGGTGCTAAACTTTCTAATGAAGATAAAGAAAAATTGGAAGAAGTCATTGAAGAAAAAATAAAATGGCTGGAAACCAATCAAGAAGCAGACACGGAAGAATTCAAAGCCCAGAAAAAAGAAGTCGAGGACATCGCCCAGCCCATTATTTCCAAGTTATATGCGGGGGCAGGTGGCGGTGCACCTCCAGAAGAGGAGGACGTAAAAGACGAACTATAAATGTGATGATATTAGTAAGTTTTCTTCATCTAGAATTTGGCCGTGTCAACTTCAGATGAATAATTCCATTTGAAATAGTATTTTAGTTTCTGTCCATTACATTAATGGTTCTCCATTATACATCATCATATTGTCATTTTTTGCCATTTCTGTAAAGAACAGAATGGACTGAATAACTTACTGGGAACAGTGTCACTGAATATTTATACTGTTTTGTCTTTTGACTTGTAAAATCACATTTGAAATGAATAAATTGTAAATACACTTCATTCAGTTTTGTGTTCTCTCTCTCTCTAAACGGATTTAAGAAAAACTTTAATAAAGTATTTATTAATGTCAATGTAAAATATTGTAATAATATAAATTTATACAGTGTAATAAAATTTAAGAGTTAATATTGGATCATTAATTTTAAGTCCATTTCAAAAAATTTTGTTTGGTGATTGTAGGCAATTCTAGTGAAATAAGAATTTTTAACAAAAATTAATAGGTATTTAATTAATCTAACTTGAATTAGAGGATGTACTCCCAATTTTGAAACTGGTGTTAATGCTTTCATGACTGGTCACCCCTTGAAGTTAAAAGTTAATAGATAAAGTTTTTTAGCATTTTTAGCACAATACATTATCTGCAGTTATAAACGAAGAATGCATTCTTTATTTGTGCATTCCTTTATTCGTCCGCGGAATCTGTTTAAAAATTAATACTCGAGAGTACAGTATTTCAGAGTTGATGAGAGTGGCAACTTGCGAAATGTATTTTATGTAAAAAGAAAATGTACTAAACATCAAATTTAAGGAATCATATAAAACGTTTAGAGCAGTGTTACTCAACGGGGCGATATCGCCCCCGTGTGGGCGTTTTTCCATGTTGAGGGGGGCGATTAGTAACAATTTATATTTTGGGGGACGAAGAACAATTTTCTGGGTGATATAGTATAACATTATGTTAACGAATAAAATATCTAATTATTCTTATATCGTACAATAATAAAATAACATTATACTAGTCACTAGTCTGTTCAATGCAGTACGAATTTGGCGTTAGCCTTGGCCCTCCGCATCGGAATTTTGAAGCGAAGGGGGCGACGATTCGTTAGAGGTTGAGAAACACTGGTTTAGGTGAACCCGGGGCGGAATGGGATAGCTAACGAAGATAAAATTGTCAACAATAAAAGAGAAATAACAAAAATATTACATTATATCCTTTATTATATTTGGCACAATTATTTAAATTAGATAAATCATTAAAAAAAACTTGCCCACATCCCGTTCCGCCCCGCACTCTGGGCAGAATGGGGTATGAGATTAATATTTCTTTTCTAATATTTGAGCATTAGTCTTGTTGCTTACAAAACTCAAACCAGCACGGAATCGTCATCGTCGCTGTCGAAACCCGCACAAGACATAACAGCCCATTTTTTGCACGTGACACATGAACACCAACCGTCAATCGACTATTAGTAAGCCTTGGTGCAGTAAAGGCAAGTCGTATCATCATCATCTTTCGAGTAATCGTCTCCTCCTTGTTCTTTTTTACTAGACTTTGGACGGTTCCCGTAAAGGAAAAAAACATTGCGCCCCAAAGCACGTGCTTCTAAAAAATCAAGTAGAGAAAAAAGTTTGATTGCTTTTTGCGTTATTTCATTCTAAAAATACAAATAGATCTTTAATAAACTAGACTATATAAATTTGGTTAAATTATAAAATACACCATATACTTTACAAGTGTATCAACATTAAAACAATGAATTTCATCAAAAAATCACGACGCAAGGTTTTATTGGTCAACGACAAAGAGAATCTCGGTAACCGAGTATTCACACTGACGCGTTGTCGCAGTCTGAGTATAGGACGGAGCAAACCAATTCCCTCACCTCTCATATTTAAATCGTCTTTCCATTTCGTCCCGGGTTCCCCTACATCATGTTGAATTTTGGCCTTTTAGTGCTCTGAGCAGAAAATCTAAAAAATAAAACCTCAAAAAATAAAAAAATCCTGTTGAATTTAGAAAAAATTTTATTACCAATAATAACAATACTCTTTCGACATCTAAAGCTCCAGATTTAGAAAAAACATCGACGGGGCCGCTGACAAGAAAAAGTCAGCATTTCGCCAGCGATCAAGATATGTTGAATAGCAAAAGGGCAACTAATATAAAATACTGCATTCTGTACAGTTGTCTGAGATAGGCAAGTAATTTCACCAGTGTACCTTAAAATCGCTATCCCAATATCCCGTAAGAAGGTTCAGTGTAGCCTACCCATTTGAAAGTTTTCGAACGTAAGGCGTGCAGTCAAAGACATTGCGAACCGCTGACGGAATTTGAAAAAATGCCGCACGGAGGAAAACGAGATGACCATTTCCCCGAATTATCATCCATTCGGACCGTTTTGACCAAAGCTGTGCCGACAGGTGAGGCAAAGAAGAAACAGCCTCGGGTGACAGAATTTAGAGAGCCGAAACTTTCGATTTTGTGTATTACACGAGATTTTTAAAGTAGTAGAAAATTAACGAATTCGATTTTAAAAATTCTTAACCGTACATTAAAGGAACTAAATAGAGCCTTTTGGGGGGGGGTTAGAATCCTATCTACTTCCGTTTACGATAGCTTTTGGAAAAAGCATTATTAATGAGAAAATCCTTTTCAATTTTTAATGTCACATGCTGGCGATCACGTGCATAAAAGAAGAGTACAATCAGCCTTAAGGTATTTGTCTACTATTGTGAAAGTGCGAGTTCCAATTCTGTCGACATATTATTTATAATTTATCATAGACGTAGCATTTTTAACCCTAATCTATGATGGTCGGCCATAGTGATGAGCGATCCAGTGATTTTCCGATATGGCAATCATCCGAGACCGTTCGTTTTTAATCACGATTTCGCCACACCGTAGCTAATCGGATTCACAGTTTCATCTATGACACGTGATCTACATTAAAATTATGCACCGGAGTCATCGACGATTTCTTAACGGCGATCAACGAGTCAGAGGCGGCGTTAAAAAAGAAACGAAGATACCGGAGATTCCCCAAAAGTTTTTTCCGAAAAATAATATTTGAAGTCAACACTGCACGCGGGGCCTCTAATTCAAATTTGTCTGAAGTCCGCGAAGCTATAACGAGCCAGTAAAATCCACTAGTTCCATAAACGGGATCTTAGAGAGCTTGTACGAGACCCGAGGATAGTCGGGCCCTGGACTTACGATTGGCAAAATATAGATCACGCATCGCAGGCAAAACTTTGATTCCGATGGGCAAGGTGGCAGAGAAATCGTAATCGCCATCTCCGAAAAAATCGCGGCGATAAAAAATAAGGGTCGGAGATGACCGCCAAATCGAAAAATCACCGGATCGCTCGTCACTAATTTCAACGACTTAACGTCTACC